CCCCAAAACCCCAAAACCCCAAAACCCCAAAACCCCAAGGGGACTTGTAAGATAATCAAACTGATTTTCAACAAATTTGATTATAATTGGAACTTTAAGAAATTAAATTTTAGTTGAATATCAATCAATTGAAAATTATGCTCTTCATTTCAATCTCTTTTTGTCTGGTCAATCCTGATGAAGCTTTTCTGCCTCTCTTGGCTTAAGAGGGTGGAGAGCCAGATTTTTAATCTGCCTTATTACTGAAAGATCTGGAGAGATCTTCACTCTACTCTTTAGTTTCTTCATCCTCACCTTCCATAAGTCCGTTAGAGCTGTCTTATTAACCTAGTGAATGATAAGGCATCTATTCTTTCAAAAATATTGGTTAAAGATAATTGTAATCTAATTTTTCCCACATTTCTTAAACCATTCCCTTCTCCTCCAGATTCCTTGATTAAGTTTCGTTATCTGTCAAACTAGAAGTTAAAAAGCTTAATTATCTTTCCTTTTTCAATCCAATCATCTTTGAAAATACTGGCATTAATCCTCCGAATAAAAGAGTAGTAAAAAGAACAACTATCAAAGTAGAACTAACAAGCAAGCTGAAATTAGGTGCTAATGAGGGATTTATTTATAAACTCAATGCAAATGCTATAGCGCCTCTAATACTTCCACTAAACCAGATTATTATAAGTTACTTTATGCTTATTTTAGTTTTAAAACCTTTACAAATGCCGACAAGTAATGCTGGAAGAAATACTCCTATTGCTCGAGCAATAATGCAAGAGATAAGTACTGCAAAGAAAAATGAGTAGCTGAATTTTTCCTACTCCATGCCATAAACGCATAATCCTAAATATGTAAAAACAAAAGCCTCAGCTGCATGGCCAATAGTTTCGATTGCTAATACACTTCCTATTTTGCTTTGAGATGATAAATTTTAAAATGAGTAATAAGCCATTGTAAATGCGCAAGAGAATAACGTAATAACTCCTGAAAACCCAATCAATTCAGATAAAATGTAACTAATGTAGGCAAAGAGTAGAAGAAGGAAAATTTCTCTGACGTGGTTTTTCTCTAAATCAGTAAGCTTTTTGTAAATATATGCATTAGCAAGCCCAAAACAGACACCAATTATGATAGATGATAGAGCAAGTACACCAAAGTTCATTAGCATGAAACTCAATTCAGATAAATTTAACAATTGATTTCCTCCTTAATCTTAATTTTTAGATGAGTCGATGATATTTTCTTGATCAGCTAAAATTAATTTCTCAACAGCCCTGAATAATAGAATACTGACCGCATCATTAACCACTCCTTCTCCGAATAGAATTGAATTTAATATTGGGTAATTTTTCTCTTTAACAATAGTGAGTGCAGCTACAGTATCAGTGGCACAAAGGACAGATGCCAAAAGGAGGCATTCTTTTGAACTTAACCTCATTGCTGAAAAATCGCTATGAAGTACATCATTCCAAAACATAATCATTGATGACAGCACAATAAAAGAAATTATGGTTCCCAACACTCCAAACAAAGCAATATACCCAAAATTACTCACAAAGTTCTTCTTTTTCAAGTTATAGCCGGCTGCAAATATTATTGGTGGTAATATAAAGACAAAAAATGTAGACTCTTTGAATTTAAGAGGATCAGCATTAATCTGTAAGAATTTTTTAAGAATTGGAAATAGTTTTCTTACTGAGTGCAGAATAACACTAGAAATCGCTCCCATCATAATAGCCATTCCTGATTCATGAATAAATTCAATCTAAAATCATATGTAAATCTATTAGCTTTACTTTGTATATCTCTATAAAATGTGCACCAAGTATGTAGAAAATAAGTATAATGAGTGAGAAGAGAACACCCACTTCAAGGTTATCGATCATTTTTAAAACTTTAAAATTTCTGATATAATACAATAGTAAAATTCATCTTTTTTAAGATAGTTATCATGCATAATGGGGTTTTGGGGTTTTGGGGTTTTGGGG